CTAGTGCCAGTAACTAGTGTCAGTATCTAACTAGTAACTAGTGTCAGTAACTAATTAGTAACTAGTGTCAGTAACTAGTGCCAGTAACTAGTGTCAGTATCTAACTAGAAACTAGTGTCAGTAACTAACTAGTAACTAGTGTCAGTAACTAGTGCCAGTAACTAGTGCCAGTATCTAACTAGTAACTAGTGTCAGTAACTAACTAGTAACTAGTTCCTGTAACTAGTGTCAGTATCTAACTAGTAACTAGTGTCAGTAACTAACTAGTAACTAGTGTCAGTAACTGACAGTAACTAGTATCAGTAACTAGTGCCAGTAACTAACTAGTACCTAATGTCAGTAACTAGTGTCAGTATCTAACTAATAACTAGTGTCAGTAACTAACTAGTAACTACTGTCAGTAACTGACAGTAACTGACAGTAACTAGTGTCAGTAACTAGTGTCAGTAACTAGTGCCAGTAACGTGTCAGTATCTAACTAGTAACTAGTGTCAGTAACTAACTAGTAACTAGTATCAGTAACTAGTGTCAGCATCTAACTAGTAACTAGCAGCAGTAACTAACTAGTAACTAGTACCAGTAACTAACTAGTAACTAGTTTCAATAACTAGTGTCAGTAACTAACTAGTAACTAGTGTCAATAACTAACTAGTAACTAATTAGTAACTAGTGTCAGTAACTACTTTTGTGAGTAACTTGTTAGTTACTCACATAAGTAGTTAAGAGAGACTGACATCTGCAGACTGAATCCGTCTGTCTCTCTGACTGTCCGTCTCTCTAACTGTTTGTATGTCTCTCTCTGTCTCTCTGTCTGTCTGTCTGTTTGTCTCTCTGTCTGTCTGTCTCTCTGTCTGATTGACTGACTGTCTCTCTGACTGTCTGTCTCTCAGGCTCAGTCAGATATGGAGGTTCGAGTGTGTCAGCTGACTGAAGGAATCCAGAAGCTGCTGCAGACTGACAGGTACACGCACACTCATTGGTACTTGTTATTTCTGAATTTGTGAGGACTGTGTAGTGTGGTTATTATATATTATATATTAGATATTAGTATATATTATATATTAGTATATATTATTATATATTAGATATTGTATATTATTATATATTGGTTATTGTATATTATTATATATTATTATATATTATTATATATTAGATATTATATATTAGGTTATATTATTATATATTAGATATTGTATATTATTATATATTGGTTATTGTATATTATTATATATTATTATATATTGGTTATTGTATATTATTATATATTGGTTATTGTATATTATTATATATTGTTATATATTAGATATTATATATTATTAGATATATGTTATTATATAGTATTTTATATTATTATATATTAGTTATTGTATATATTATTACATATTAGTTATTATATATTAGATTTTATATATTATTATATATTAGATATTGTATATTATATATAAGATATTGTATATGTTACTCGTATACTGTACTTTATGATATGTTACAATATAATATAGAATGTTACTATGTACTGTTATATTACCATAATATACATATATTATATACTTTAACCACTTAATCATTCATTATTCTGGTGACATCACTGTGACATCACTGTGTGGTCTGCGAACAGGGGGCGGAGCCTGAGCCATCAGACGCTGCAGCACCTGGAGACGCTGCAGAGCCACCAGCTGCAGCTGCAGGTAAACACACTTACCTGTCTGCTGCTCACACCTGACTGCTGTCTGACTGCTCATTGGCCCTCCTCTCCTCCAATCAGAGCCAGCTGCTGGAGTCGGCCCTCAGGATAGTGACTGCCCACGCCACCGTGACCCCTGTGACCTCTGACCCGGCCGCCTCCTCTGACCGTCTGCAGGTCACTCACCTGGACGCTGCAGGTACACAATCACACACACACTCATTACATTGCCCAAAAGCATCATGGGAAGTGTAGTTCAGGCAGGAAGCAGTCAAACTTTAGATCCAGATCTGACCAGCAGGTGGCAGCAGCAGCATCACTATTCAGTGTGTGGTTACCATGGAAACCAGACTGAGCAACAGAACAGAGAGAGGTGTGTGTGTGTGTGTGTGTGTGTGTGTGTGTGTGTGTGTGTGTGTGTGTCTCTTCCATTTTGGAGACGGGGTTGCCATGGTAACCAGGCTGTTTGTAGCAGAGGGCTATTTTTAGCTGCTTTTGTTGCTGTTGTTATTGCTGTTGCTGCTGTTGCTGCTGTTGCTGTTGCTGTTGCTGCTGTTGCTGTTGCTGCTGTTGCTGTTGCTGTTGCTGCTGTTGCTGTTGCTGCTGTTGCTGTCTGCTGTTGCTGTTGCTGTTGCTGCTGTTGCTGTTGCTGCTGTTGCTGTTGCTGCTGTTGCTGTTGCTGCTGTTGCTGTTGCTGTTGCTGCTGTTGCTGCTGTTGCTGTTGCTGTTGCTGCTGTTGCTGCTGTTGCTGTTGCTGCTGTTGCTGTTGCTGCTGTTGCTGTTGCTGCTGTTGCTGTTGCTGTTGCTGCTGTTGCTGTTGCTGCTGTTGCTGTTGCTGCTGTTGCTGTTGCTGTTGCTGCTGTTGCTGTTGCTGCTGTTGCTGCTGTTGCTGTTGCTGCTGTTTCTGTTGCTGTTGTTATTGGACCGGCTTAATGCTTAAGTAGTCCAAAACTGTACAATGAATAAACAGTGCTCCACTGGAACTGTCATCATTAGGCTACAATTAAAGGACTAAAGGAGTTACTTTAAGTCCACTAATCAACTGTTGTACACTTTGCTTTAAATGTGGCAAGTAGAGGTGCATGTTACTTAGATGTAGAGTATGATTAAGTGCAAACAATTCATAAGTACAGGTCCATAAAGAACAAACTTGTCTGGCCATAAAAGGACCTGGCAGCAAGTTAAAGTTAAATACAAGAACATTTTGCAGGCTGGTCAGTGACTATAAAGTAGATAACAGTGAACAAATGAGGTGAATAGATTAGGTATCTGCTGACATGTTGAATGTCTGTATGATTGTAGCAGTTAAAAAAAGCCCATAGAACTGGCACAGGGGGCCCACCAAGCCAGGATATGTGCTGCAAATGGTTCCTTTATTGAGGTTCTCTGCATCCCCAACAGAATAAAGGAAGCTCCCACTTGCAAAACATCTCAATGTAACACAGACCATCTGTGGTACAGTGAGAGCATGGCTTCCTGCTGTCTGGTGCTGTATTTTTGGACCCAGCAGCCTACATAAATATCTTAGTCCATCACCTGAGAATCTGTATCTCTCAATGAGATAGTCCTCTCCAACGGCCAATGGGTCTGACCTGTCCCAGAAGACTCTTTCAGGACTAAATGCTCGTCTGAGGATTAGGGCTTCCTCATCCAGTACATCCTCCAAGAAAGGGCAAGCCATTATGAAGAGGGAACAGGTGAATGGGAGTTGGATAGATAGATAGAAAGAAAGAAAGAAAGAAAGAAAGAAAGAAAGAAAGAAAGAAAGAAAGATATTCCTTCATTTGTCTCACAATGGGGAAATTCCAATGTAACAGCAGCAAAGTGGATAGAGAGAAAACAGTATAAATAAACAGTAAGAGTAGGGAAATAATAAAAAACATTATGTACTAGATGTGTGTGTGTATATATATATATATATATATATCACCATAGTAACTCGGCCGGGATAAGTCTGAGCTGCTTTCATGCAACCGACTTGAGGCTTAATTCAGCCAGGATAACCAACATATCCCGGCTTAATCCCTTATCTTGGTTTTGTGCGATACCCCTCAGACAGCAACCCTCTCTGACACTGCTCTGTCTCCTCTCTCTCCGTCAGCAGACTTCCTTGGCAACCTGCAGCAAACCTCCTCGGTAACCAGAGCCGGCGCCACTGTGGAGACCGGCCCAGTTGCTATGGCAACACCCCGCCATGACCGATGGCCAGAGCAAAGCAGGTGAAGGGGGGAGGGTGTTTCTGGTGGTTTAAGCGTGATGGTTATGTTAAACAGAATCTGTGGAGTCTATACACAGAAACATCCTGTACCTCTGATTGGCTGCTGGCTGTCCATTACTTCCTGCTGTTGGACACCTTCTCAAACTGTTCACCGTTATAAATTCATTAAATAAACTAAATGAAAATAAAATCTAGTTAAATTATCTGATAAATCTATCTGACAGCACTGAGTGTCGTCCACCATCCCACTACCTGCCGATATAAGGTGATGAAATTCAGGTTCAGGATGAATTGTAATAACTTTATTGATCCTCTGACTTCCTGTTGACAGAACGACACTTTAAAGCAGGTTAACCACACGTGGAGCAGAGAACAGTCTTATTGTGGTTGATAAATACACTCACAAACTCTTTCACTTCTTCCTTTAATAAGCTAATTCTGTTTAATGTGAACCTGATGAGCTGTGGCCTAATTATTGTTACTAACAGTGTCTGATGAACACTGACCTCTGACCTCTGACCCGTAATGAACCGGAGACACTCTATCATACTGGACCTGCTGCAGCTGGTGGATGATCTGATGTTATATATCTCTGTCTGTCTGTCTGTCTGTGTTGATCAATTTGCATAATCATTCAGAGAGTCGGGGGCTCTTCATGTATTCAGCTACCTCCTCGCAGCGTGGTCGCCAGGCGCGTTTCCACGGCAACACAGACGGTATCCATCAGAGGTGTGTGTGTGTGTGTGTGTGTGTGTGTGTGTGTGTGTGTGTGTGTGTGTGTGTGTGTGTGTGTGTGTGTGTGTGTGTGTGTGTGTGTGTGTGTGTGTCACTGGAGATTTGATGACTTCAAGTTAATATTTCTCCCAGAATGCATTGTTGTGGCGCGGTGCCAGTTAACCCCGTGCTGTCTGGAGCTGTTTGTGATCAGTGATTGATTGATAGATAATTGATTGTTTACAGTGTGTGTTGATGTGTCCGTCTGAGACTGAGAAAACACACACACACACACACACACACACACACACACACACACACACACAGAGGGAACAGTCCTCAGGCGGGTGATCGAGGCTTTCTACGCACTGAGAGAGAGAGAGGATGGGGGTGAAACCTGCCTAGCAACAGACGCCCAGATGTGTCTGCAGCAGACACTCATACTGTACCTGATCATTTATCAATACGTCTATTGATTCCTGCTCATTCAGAGAGCGTTTCTCCGCTCGGGAGGTTCAGGATCAATGAAACACAGAGCGTCCCCCTAACTGATCCACTGTCTGTGATCCTCTGTGATCCTCTGTGATCCACTGTCTGTGATCCTCTGTGATCCACTGTCTGTGATCCACTGTCTGTGATCATCTGTGATCCACTGTCTGTAATCCTCTATCTGTGATCCACTGTCTGTGATCCTCTGTGATCCTCTATCTGTGATCCACTGTCTGTGATCCACTGTCTGTGATCCACTGTCTGTGATCCTCTGTGATCCACTGTCTGTGATCCACTGTCTGTGATCCACTGTCTGTGATCCACTGTCTGTGATCCTCTGTGATCCACTGTCTGTGATCCTCTGTCTGTGATCCACTGTCTGTGATCCTTTGTGATCCTCTATCTGTGATCCTCTGTGATCCACTGTCTGTGATCCTCTGTCTGTGATCCTCTGTCTGTGATCCACTGTCTGTGATCCTTTGTGATCCTCTATCTGTGATCCTCTGTGATCCACTGTCTGTGATCCTCTGTCTGTGATCCTCTGTCTTTGTGATCCTCTGTCTGTGATCCTCTGTGATCCACTGTCTGTGATCCTATGTCTGTGATCCACTGTCTGTGATCCTCTGTGATCCACTGTCTGTGATCCTCTGTCTGTGATCCTCTGTCTGTGATCCACTGTCTGTGATCCTTTGTGATCCTCTATCTGTGATCCTCTGTGATCCACTGTCTGTGATCCTCTGTCTGTGATCCTCTGTCTGTGATCCTCTGTCTGTGATCCTCTGTGATCCACTGTCTGTGATCCTATGTCTGTGATCCACTGTCTGTGATCCTTTGTGATCCTCTATCTGTGATCCTCTGTGATCCACTGTCTGTGATCCTCTGTCTGTGATCCTCTGTCTGTGATCCACTGTCTGTGATCCTTTGTGATCCTCTATCTGTGATCCTCTGTGATCCACTGTCTGTGATCCTCTGTCTGTGATCCTCTGTCTGTGATCCTCTGTGATCCACTGTCTGTGATCCTATGTCTGTGATCCACTGTCTGTGATCCTCTGTGATCCACTGTCTGTGATCCTCTGTCTGTGATCCTCTGTCTGTGATCCACTGTCTGTGATCCTTTGTGATCCTCTATCTGTGATCCTCTGTGATCCACTGTCTGTGATCCTCTGTCTGTGATCCTCTGTCTGTGATCCACTGTCTGTGATCCTCTGTCTGTGATCCTCTGTCTGTGATCCACTGTCTGTGATCCACTGTCTGTATCCTTTGTGATCCCTATCTGTGATCCTCTGTGATCCACTGTCTGTGATCCTCTGTCTGTGATCCTCTGTCTGTGATCCTCTGTGATCCACTGTCTGTGATCCACTGTCTGTGATCCACTGTCTGTCATTAGTCGACAGCTTAAACTAACTAATCACATATTGTTGGACCTATATAATGTCAATCAATAATGTATTTCTGTGCTTTGTGTGCATAAACTGATACAAACATAAAGACTGATGTTACCACAGCTGGAACAACAGGCAGCCATATTGTTTTAGAGGAGCTCTACAGTCGGGGGGGGAATCAATAACCCACAACGGAGAGATATTGATCATTTAAGCTGTTGGACTCTATCTGGACACTGTGATTGACTGAACCGATCAGTAATCAGTATCAGAGATCTTCTCCTCACCAATACGGCAGCCAATCAGGGATCAATGCCTCTGTATGGATGTTCTCCAGCTGTTAATAATAATGCAAATACAAAATACTTCAACCTATTTACAGATCAATAGATCAATATATCAGCAGATCAATAGATCAGTGTGTGGGCTGATATCAGATCAACAGAAACTGATTTTAACAAACAAATCCAGCCAATCTTTTTTATCGGGTCTCTCAGATATTGTTCAGCCTCAAACTGTAATACATCCTGTTATTGATCATTGGTGAAGATGAGATCAGAAACTGAACCAGAACCAGAATGAAGACCTGGATCCTGATGAGAACTGTGATATTGATCCGCACTGATTGGAAGCCTGAAACTGACCTCAGAGCAGCTGTAATGTGACAGTAATGGAAGAGGAGGAGGAAGAGGAAGAAGAGGAGGAAGAGGGGCAATGACATCACTTACTCCACCTGGTGGCATTCCTAGAGAGGAGGAGGAAGAGGAGGATAATCCAAATTCCTCAGCTCCTCTCGGAGTGAAGCATGCAGGGAAAGAAACGCAGACCACCCCCCTCCTCTTCCTCCTCTTCTTCCTCCTCCTCCTCCTCGCTCTCTGCAACAGCACACGGAGCTTCAGCAGGAGGAGGAACAATACGCGGAGGAGTCACTGCAGTCTGATCAGAGCTCCGCGGAGGAGGCAGGCAGGAAGGGGGACGATGTCCTCCCCGCAGCTCTCCTCGTCCCGCAGACAGTCCTGTTACCTGTGCGACCTGCCCCGCATGCCCTGGGCCATGATCTGGGACTTCACCGAGCCCGTGTGCCGGGGCTGCGTCAACTACGAGGGCGCGGACCGGATCGAGTTCGTCATCGAGACAGCCCGCCACCTGAAGCGGGCTCACGGCTTCCAGGAGGGCAGACCTCCCGCCGGAGCGCCGCAGCAGCCGGCGGCAGGGAGGAGCGGGGCGGCCTTACTGAGCGGGAAGGAGCCGCTGAACCCGCCGGAAGCACAGGGGAAGCAGCCCGGAGTGGACCGGTACTCTCTCGGCGCTGACAGCCGTGCTCGGTTCGACTACAGACTGCCGAACGGGTTCAAACCGGAGGACGGACCTCCAGAGCTGAACCGGCAGAGCCCGAACTCCAGGAGCCGAAGCCACGGCGCGCCGGTGCCCCCCAACCTGCTGCCTCAGACCCCGCTGCACGCACCGAGCAGAGCCGCCCCGCAGAGCTCCGCGCTTGGCGTCTCCATCCTGTCCGACCCCGCCGGGAAGCGGCCCGCCTCCGTGTCCAGCTCGGACCAGGAGCGGGACCTGAAGGAGAAGCAGCGGAACGCTGAGGTCCTGTCCGAGCTCAGCGAGAGCCTCCGGAACCGGCACGACGACTGGACCAGCAGACCGAAGCCAGTTCGGGACACCCTGCTCACCCTGTCCGCCTGCACCCCGTTCGACGTCCGCTTCAAGAAGGACCACGGGCTGGTCGGGAGGGTGTTCGCTTTCGACGCGGTCTCTAAACCGGGTCTGGAGTACGAGCTGAAGATCTTCATTGAGTACCCGACCGGGTCCGGGACCGTGTTCTCCAGCGCGTCCGGAGTAGCCAAGCAGATGTACCAGGACTGCATGAAGGACTTCGGGAGGGGGTTGTCGTCCGGGTTCAAGTATCTGGAGTACGAGAAGAAGTTCGGGTCCGGGGACTGGCGGCTGTTGGGGGACCTGCTGCCGGAATCTCTGCGGGTCTTTAAGGAGGCGGTGGCGGGGGACATGCTCCCGCAGCCGCACACCGACGGCCCGCTGCTGCCCCCCGGCCTGCAGCCCCCCGGCCGGGCTCCAGCCTCCGGCAGCGGCTGCAGCGGCCCCAGGGCCGGCGTGAGGAAGAGGAAGGCCTCCCCGGAGCCGGACTGCGCGGAGGACCAGCAGAGGTGGCTCAACAGCCAGACCGAGGCCCTCAAACTCTCCCTGGCTGCGACCTCCTTCGGCCCAGGCCTCCCCTCCCCGGAGCCCGCCGCCCCCACGCAAAACGGACAGTCCCCGATGGCCGCGCTCATGTCGGTCGCGGACGCGCTCGGGAACTCCCCCAACAAGGACTCGGTCCACTCCACCACCTCCTCCTCCAGACTCAGCAGCAGTAGCCCGGTGTCCCCCGCCTCCGTGTCCGGGCAGAGGCGCCTCTCCTCCCGCAGCGGCGACCTCGGACTGCCCGCAGCCGGAGGTCTGGAGCAGAGCGACTCCCCGATGGCCAGCAGCGGCCCACTGTGCTGCACCATCTGCCACGAGCGGCTGGAGGACACCCACTTCGTGCAATGTCCGTCCGTCCCCGGCCACAAGTTCTGCTTCCCCTGCTCCAGAGAGAGCATCAAGGCCCAGGGCGCCTCGGGGGAGGTGTACTGCCCCAGCGGGGAGAAGTGCCCGCTGGTCGGCTCCAACGTGCCCTGGGCCTTCATGCAGGGTGAGATTGCCACCATCCTCGCCGGAGACGTGAAGGTAAAGAAGGAAAGAGACCCCTGAGGAGACTGCGGAGACTTCTAACCGTCTGTCAGTGGAGCGACTATCGATCAGCTGATGATAATGATCAGTATTGATTAAATTATAGAAACACCTTAAACTTTTCATTTTAAAATGGAGAAATATTAATAAGGTAAGAAAGAAAAGTCATAGTAATTATCAATCGTCTGTCAGTGGAGAAAGAACTGATCAGTTATCGATACTGATCGATGTTGATTAAATTAAAGAAACAGCATAAACTTTCCATTTTATGATGACGGAGAAATATTGATGAGATAAGGAATATAAATAAATAACCCCCTTTATGTCAGTATTATACACTATTAAACTGTTAAATGTTTGAACATCAAATAGCTGCAACTGAAAATATTTAATTGTTCAGTTTTTCACTTTGATTTTTAACAATTTTTTAAATACAGATTTTATTTTTAATTTTTAATTTTTTAAGTAAATTCTTATTGATTCTTATTATTTATTTAAAAATTGAAGAGTTTGACATCAACATTTGTCTTGAAATTCTGAACCTTCTCAACTGGATTTTTTACAGTTCGTAATCAATTTCAACACTTTCAGAGTATTTGATCAAAACTATCCTGATTTGATTGTCAATTAAAGGGTTAAATTCACTGACTGTAGAGAGAACAGAGACTTTATTATTAATATTATTATTATTATTATTATCTGAATAGGCCGAACCAGCAGATTACAGTCATTAACACACTGACTGAGTTTATTTTTTATAAAACAGTTTTTAAATGTTTTCAGTCTGATGAAGTTCAACAGAGACATAATCCAATAAATATGAATACTTTAGTCTTCCAGCTGTATTTGAAGGTATTTGGATGAAGACACTCTTTATGATTATATACATATATTATATTTGATGTTTCTCTTTGTTGAGTCAGACATTTCTGATTAAATATTTAGTTTATAAAATGTTCAGATTAGTGGCGTACAGGTGTCAGGCTAAAATGATCACATTGAGATTATTCTGAAATCTCAATGAGACGTTTGTTGGATTTGCACTAGAGCGTGATCAATATATCAGCCTGCTGATATTATTATTATAATCGCAGACGTATCGGTATCTTTATCAGAATATTGATCAGCTCCTCCAGGATTTCAAAGGCTTAGTTTGGGATTGTTGAGGCCTCAAACTCCTGATTTCACTGCAGCTTTTCTAAAAAAGTAAAATATTTGTTGAGATGTTTTTAGGACTTCTTTGTGGAAATTGCAGAAACAGTTGCGAAGGCAACTTGATTTTATGAATTGATGAACTGCTCTGAAATGTTTGTCAGACATTACATGATGTCTCCGACATTTATACATGACATCATGGCAACCTGCTGCTATGTGCTTTTGGGATTTTTTTTTTTTAAGTTATTTTTTTGGCCTTTTATTGCCTTTATTCGATAGTGACAGCCGAAGATAGACAGGAAACGGGGGCAGAGGGCTGCAGGTCGGATTCGAACCCGGGCCGCTGCAACAACTCAGTACATGGGTCGCCAGCTCTACCGACTGAGGTAACCAGGCACCCGAGGGATTGTTGAGGCCTAAAAATTTCACTGCAGCTTTTCTAAATACTGATGCATATTGAAATTTTTTTACAATACTGTATCAGCAGCGCAGGGACAGAAGGAGCTCTCAGCAATTAAATTATAAACATGTTAAAGAATATTTAACTGAATTATTACTGAACACAGTAACACTGACTTACAGTCACATCAATCCACAGAAAAAAGCTCAATAATAATAGATGACCCCCCCAAATCAGAGTTTAGAAATACTGAGCTCAAAGCCACCCACAAATAGTCTGAACATGAACTTTTTTCATTATTTACAGTTGTTTAATTAAACTTTAATTTGAGTTCAATCTGAAAACCAACTGTTAACACAGCAAACTCACTATTAACACAACTCTGACTGTATAGTCGTAATTAGGAAACTTTAGACATGTCAAATAAAGCGTTACCCTTTCCTCACCTCCGCAGTTCTGATAGAGAAATAAGTCCTTGTGGGGTTATTGATTGCTGATCATGTTAGAGCTCAGTGATTAAACAGAGAGCAGCTTTAAATCAATACACCCAGTTATCTATTTATATTCTACCTTTACTCTGTAAACATGTTTAGGACTGACTGTGTAAAACTATTGAAACAACTGACAGAATATTAATCAGCAATGATTTTATTACTGTATTATTTTTTGTGAAATGTTTTGGACTGTTGGTCAGACATTACAAGATGTCTCACTATTTTCTGACATTTTATACATTAAATCAGATCTGGGTAGGCAACTTGCTGCTTTGTGTTATATGCTATGCTATGTGCTAGGCTAATCTATGTTGAAAAGACAACCACATTTTAAAGATGGTTAAAAAATAAAAGAGACAAATAGTCACATTTTCAGTTAGCTAATGTTAGCTAACTCTAGCTGTCTAACTAGCTAATCTACAGCAATAATTAGCTAACTAGTTAGCTAGCATTTTGGTACAGAGCCAGACACTAGCTAGCTAACTAGCTAGCTAATCTACATAAATCGTTAGCTAGCTAGTTACTTCTGAAACAACCAATTTTTGATAGTTAAAAGATAAATTATGGGTTGATCCTATTAATTAGCCACCTAACTAGCTAGCTAACAAGTAATGTAGATTAGCTAGCTAGTTATCTAACATTTAACTGACTATATTTATGTCACTTTTATCTTTTAACCATCTTAAAATCTGTCTGTTTCCAGATGTGACTAACTATCTAACGATTGATGTTAGCTAGTTTTACTAGAACTAGTAAACCAGCTATCAAACGATTAATGTAGATTTGCTACCTAGTAAAACGATGGCTAACCAGCTAGGTGATGGTTGATGTAGATGTAACTATATATATGTATCTTTTATCTTTGAACCATCTTCAAAATGTGGTTGTATTTTCTACATAGATTAGCCTAGCATATAGCGTATCTAATTACAGGAAAGGAGGAAGTTGACTGAGGTTCTGACCGAGGCTTGCTCAACTGTGATTGGAGCACAGAGCAAAAAAGGGCTTATGAAGGGTCCATTATTAATTATTAGAAACGATTACTTATATATTATTATTATTATTAATTATATAAATTTGCATTTTTAGGTCTTTTAAATGTCTTTTGGGCGAAAATTAGCTTAGATTATGCTGTAACAATTACAAAATGAAACCGACATGGAATCAATACTCCTAATCAACATCATCTGTGCTTTTTTGCCAGTAGGGCTTATTGTGTTCATAA